GCAGTCCAGTAAGTAATGGTCATGATGTTCTGCTGCAGAACATTTGGGTTACCCAACAGGTGTAATTGGTACAAAGTGAGTCATCACATTTTCTGGAAGTGTCAGAAGAGAGAAAAGTTAGAGGATGATGCTGTGCTTCACACTTGTTCACCAGAAAAATCAGACCCTAGACTGGTTCTGATGCTAAGTATTGACCAGAAAAGAATAGAATGGGAATGGAAGAACTTTCCCATCTTGATTTAGAATTATTTATACTAAGGATGTGTGAGAATGTTGTGTGCAAAAATGTCTTGGATGTCCTTTTGAATCTTTAAACAAATTAGATCAGTGGTTCTCAACCTTCCTAATGTTGTGACCCTTTAATACATTTCCTCATGTTGTAGTGACCCCAACTATAAAATTAGTTTTGTTGCTACTTCATAACTAATTTTGCTACTGTTGTGCATCATAATGTAAATATCTGATAGATAGGATGTATTTTCATTGTTATGAATTGAACATAATGAAAGCACAGTGATTAATAACAAAAACAATATGCAATTTTATATTAGGAAATATTCATTTCTAATTACAAATAAATGAAATTTTGTCTTGAAGTATGGTGTAGCATGGGTAACAGTCTTCACACCGGGTACTTGTATGTCGGGTATCTGCACGTGGGAGGAGCCAACTGGGGACCATAGAGGAGCGGTGTCTTGGTTCTTAAGACCATCGGAAATATGTGTTTTCCTATGGTCTTAGGCGACCCCAGTGAAAGGGCATTTGATTCCCAAAGGGGTCGCGACCCACAGGTTGAGAACTGCTGAATTAGATGGATATTGAGGTGGGGATAGTAGTATGAGGGTCTGGGAAGAGTTCTATAGTCAAAGACAGGGTCAATGAACAGGTGGAAAGTAAGCCTATCTATGGGGTAACTATGTCAGAAGTAAAGTATAGTTTCATTGATCCTTTCCCCTAAGGAACTGAGCCCCATTTCGCTAGTCTGCTTATAGGGAAAACGCAGGTAACACACGACTGATGATCAAAGCTTTTTTGCCAGGCCTGTATGTGTGTGTGTGTGTGTGTGTCTGACTTACACTCTAATGTGGTGTTTTAAAGTCCCGTGGAGTAGAGCAAAAGCATACTTCCAAAGTGCATATAGTTAGAAAAGCAGGTACAGGTTCCTGCCTTGTTTTGTTATAATTTTTGCTAATTTTGTGAAATTGTTTGCAAATTAAAACTTTGAGTAAACATATTAGAAATTACCCTCCACTTTGAATACTACAATCCACTCTTTCAAGGGTTAAAATCCCCAAACACCCCAAACTCCAAACTCACTACCATTGAGCCAATTCTGACGTCACTAAAACCCCCCACAAACTCACTGCTATTCAGTGGATTCCAACTAATGGCTGCCTTTAAATGGAGCGTTGCTGGAAGGTTCAGGGCTTGAAACTTCCAGGAAAAACAACCCAGGGAACTGTTAGTATGACTTTTAGCTGGGACCCACCATTTCGTTTGACAACAATCGTGTGCATTTATGTTTTCATAGCTGAAGAACAAGCGGGATTCAGTGCTTGAAATTCAGGATCGTTTTAACATCTACAACAGAGATTTCCAAACAGCTTCTTCCGGGTAGAAACGGAACCCCTTCTCACTGGAAGCCCCATGGAGAACAGAGAAGCAGCCTTCCAGGGTGAAGTTTCCAGGCTCCACTAGCTTTCGTAAGGGAGATACAGCGTGCTAAGAATTTTTGCTAGTCTGGCAATTCTTCTACTTCGTCTGGTGGGGGCGTTGGAAAGATTTGAACTTCCTTTGCATTAACTGTAAATGGGAAGCTTCTAACCCTTCAGTCCTTTCTGCGGTCCCTGACTCGACCCCCTCCCCCCCAACCGTGTTCGCTGTTTATCAATTGTCTAGGATCTCCGAGGGACAATCCCCTCTTGTAAGAAAAAGATACAATTGGAAAGCTTTCCCCACTTCTCATGGGTGTGTCCAATCCCCGTCTCACTTCTCCTCTCCTCCTACAAAGAGCAGAGACTAGGCCCCCGTTTCGTGTCACTTCCGGTTAGTAGCAACACTGGGGAAAAAGCAAATTTGAGCCCTGCGTGCAGTTCAGGACCTACGGGACCCCCGGGCTGCCTCTGCTGGGCCTTTAGAGCTGACACCCAGACTGGAGATTAGAAGCAAATGACCACTTTCAGGAGGCACTTGGTGAGGGGTAGTCTTTGAAACTTCAGTTGTCTCAAGCCCCTATTGTCCCTATTCCCCCTCCCCCAGCAGAAAGTGCCCGCATGAATGCCCAAGGTTTGGCCAGGTGGGGACGTCTTTGTCCCAGTTATTGCGACCAGTTCTTAGCTTCTAGCAGCTCCTCACTTCCCATAACTTTCCCCGGTCTGCTCTAAGGCCCAGGTACTCAGGGCCAAGAATTTTCAAAAATCAAGAAGCTTCTCTGACCGCAAGGCACCAACCTGCCCCTTGCAAAGGCAGCGGCTGGCAAAGAAAATGAAGAAAGCTGATGAAGACGTTACCCGGGGTTCCCTTCATTCCCCTAGGAAGCGGGGGTGGTGGGGGTGGGGGGGGAGGGTGGCTGGCGGGCTGGGTGTTTTGAAGGTGTTGAGCAGTCAATGGGGGTGATTCCTGGAGCTCTGTGACCAATCACCTCAAATTAAATTCTCCTCTTACTCTCGCAACTCTAGTGAATGGATCAAGGCCCACGGTTTTGGGTGCTGGGCCCCTAATTCTGCGTGGAGGGCGCTTGAGCTAAGAAGAGCGGGAGGGGGCACAATGTTGTAATTCAGCGCCGCAGTACTTACTATGTCCTCCTCTCAAAGTTGCGTTTGTAGTTTTACCCCCTTCAATAGGCCATGAAGTCAACAAACTCCCCACTTGGTGGCTCCCTTTACTAAAGTTGAGTGGTAAACTTGTGGACGGCATCTTGGAGATTATCAACTATTTCTACAGATCGAACTCATTTCAGAATTCGCGTGGGAGGCAAGAGTAAGGATTTTAACCCGGTTCACCTTTGACGTGAAACACTGCGGAAGACAGGAAAACCACTGTTGGTAATAGCTTCGGGTGCTTTAGTGAGAAAGATATCTTGATTATCCGGTGGTGGTCTGTTCACCGCAAGCTCTTTGTGTGCGAGCTTACTTCGGAGACAGAGCTGAACATGCAAAGCACATGCATGTAAACACTCCAATATAAGCCAGTGAACATAATAGGCAGCGGAGACAGGAAATACAACCTCATAATTGATGTGGTTTGAAGCTTTGTTCCAGGCAGGCCATCTGGAGCATTGCCAGGAATAAACCAAGAGGAATGCGCACAACTTTGGCCTCTTGGAGGAAGTATTACATCTCAGCAAGGGAGCGGGAATGGCCTCGCAATGAGAAGCATTATAATTTTGCCATAGAAGAAAGCATGCAGGACTAATATAACTTATTTAAATGTTAGATCCAAATCATAGCAACAGAAAAAACGCTCCCACTAAATTGTCATTTCCTCTACTCTTTGTTTAAGATCCAAATAATTAAAATGCATACTAATGGTTATTGATGGCTCAATTTCCTTCCAAAAAGAAATAGACCAAAGCTTTCTTACCAGAGTAGAAATGTATGAATGTTCTTAATTTACTCAGACTTAGAAACCTTATTGTCAATGTGGTCTTCCCTTACTGCTTTTCTCTTCCCACGTCATTTTCCGTTAAAAACATAACCGTTCCCAATGGAGTGACCCTCAGCAGGAAATCCTTACAGGTTCCCATTCTGTATCCCCCCAAATGGAGCTCAAGTTGTAAATAATGTGGAGAAGACACATTTCTCACGGCCAGATTCTTAACAATTCATTTTTTGTGTAGGACAGAATTTCAATTTTTGAAAACAGTAAGAGCCACAGAAAGTGTGAGGTCTCCAAATGAGACAACTTAGAGATTTAAAAACCAGGGCTAAGGGAAGAATTCAATTATTCTTCACTCAAATCTAGGCAGGGCTTAGTGTCATTTAAGGCATCATGGGCATTGTAAGGGGAGATAAATGTGAACAGAAGGGTGCTTTGATCATTAGAATTAATGGCGTTTCCAAAGCCAAAACTTTAAGGGTTAGAGGTTCTGTTGAAAAGAAATCAGTGGCGATTCCCGGCATTGAGTAGCCTTTTCTAACAAGCAGTTCAGCACCCAGAGCCTGGACAGTTCCACGGGCCTTGCTCTTGGCGCAGCTACCTCTAATCCATCTACTCCTAGCCAGACTGTCAGCGACAGCCAGACTCATTAGAAATTTACTGAAAATCCTCCAAGACTTCCCTTTCAAAACCAAACGACTTCCACATTTAATTGTATATCTGGAAGGACATACGCAAGAAATTAGGAGACCTAAATTAAATTTATTAATAGGAGAGCTTGACTGTGCTTCATTCCAGAGACTAGAGCTCTGGTGGAGTTTGATGAAACAGTAAAGGGAAGCAGTTGGTACGGTTAATAACATGAATTCTATAATCCTAAAGGTTCCACGAACGCTTTCCTAATCCTTGAGAAATGGGTGGAATTGAAAACCACCACAATAATTGGACTTCTTAAAAATTGGACTGGATGAGTGCACGGTGTTTATGAGAAGGCGATGACTCCGGATCTTATCATCCAAGAGGGCAGCACGTAACAGTTAATATGCTCCTTGAGGGACCAGAATGCTGACGTCTTTTTCTGATACCCGATCATTACGTGACTGAAAAAAAAAAAAAAAGGAAGTCATTTCATGAATAAAAATCGGAGCTCAACAGTGCTACAAAATATTCTGGACTTAAAGGCAACAGGCAGACAGATGTTGACAATAGAGAGCTCTCTTAAAACCATGTTCGGATAGGTTTTGGGAACTGCACATATAAATACGAGCAGAGGGCCGGTCACCCCTGTAACCAGCAGCAGCAGCAGCAGCAGCAGCAGAAGAAGACACGCTTCAGACGCAAGCAGAGGGACCTCAGAGGAGCAAGAAGGCGCTGCGGGCTCGTGCAGCTGCGGAACCGGCGGCTCCCACAGACGCCGGCGCTTCCTTCCCTCCCTCCCTCCTGCCCCTCTCCTTGGACTTTTCCCTTTCCCTCACCGCTCCTTTCTTCTGGACGCCACTTGCCTCCTCTGCTCTTGAGCTTGCCTCCTCCTTTCCTCCTCCTGAGCCTCTCTCTCCTCGCCCCCTTCTCTCGGGGTCACTCCGCCTCCTACTTGTGTGCGTCTGCAAACTTTTGAACCGAGCATTGCCCTCGGCAAACAAGTCCCCCTGCCCGGTCCTCCGCCGTCGCCTCGGACACCAGCGCCAGCTGGGGATGCCTCTCGGGTGGTGACTCTAGCGCAGCAACTTGGAGAAGCCCTGTGCCCGGCGTCCTACCTGGCAGCAAACCCTTTCCTCGCCGCGGTAAGAGTTGAATAGTAAGGGGGACGCTAGTGTCAAACGACTCACTTGAATGCTGATTCTTGCGCTGCTACCAAGAGACCAGGCAGCTTTCTTTCGCACCGGGTCTGGCGAGGTTGTGTGTGTGTGTGTGTGTGTGTGTGTGTGTGTGTGTTTTCCTTCTAACTCTAGTGAAGGACGTGGCGGGGCGGGCGCGCGCGCGCGGGCTGCCACTAAACTGTCCTCATCCCGAGGCGCCGGAGAAGCGATCTGTCCCTCCGCGGGAGCCGGGAGTTTCGGTGGGGTCGCAGGTGGAAGGCCGGGGGTGTTCTGACGGCTCGCTTACCCCTTTCCCATCCTGCGCAGAACGACCATGTGTAGCAGAGCCAGCCTGGCCTTGTTGGTCTACGGCATCCTTATGCACAGCAGCGTCTACGGCTCACCTGCCGCCGCCGGACTGCGGTTCCCGGGGATCAGGTAGGTGGTGGCTGCCCCGGAAGAGGACCTCCCTCCCCCTGGACGCCTCCTCCTGGGGGTCCTCCAGCGATTCCCCGGGTGCGGGCGACGCACACCTTCCTCGGCTGGCCAGAGCTCCGCCGCCAGCTTGCGCCCGGCCCCTGGTGTTGGCCTGGGCACGCAGGGCAGCCTAGCCGGCTGCGCGGTGGCCTGCGGCCCTCCCCCGCTGGGAGCCCGGGGCCCGAGCCCGCGAGCGCGGCGGCCCGCGACACACCTCCCCTTCCCCCGCACCCCGCCAGCCCGCGGGCGAGGAGGGGGAGGGCAGGGCCTGGGTTGCTGGTCCGATTCTTCCCGAGAGTTGGAAAAACTTCCACTCCTGGAGCGAAGTCCCTTGGGGAGGACGAAACGCCGGCGGATTTGGCTGGGTTCACGGCTAGTCCCAGACTATCGGGGCGGGGTCTCCCTCTCTCCCCCCCCCCCGCCCCCCTTCTTTTCCTCAATTAGCATTTCCCCCCTCCCGGGAAAAGCTTCCTCGGATTCCCACTGAGCGTCGAGTCCTCGATTGCCTTAGGGAGAAGGGCGTTGAACGGGGACGCTCAAAGCGCAGCGCCCGGCAAGAAGGAAGAACCAGCCCAAGAGTGCCGGGGAGGGGGAGAAACGGATGCCAGGGAGGAGGAGGAGAAAAGAAGCCGGCTGGCTGGCAGCACCGGGGTAGCGCCGCCAGTCCTCGGCTGAGGAGCTGGGGTATTTTACGCATCTCGGAGCTGCCAGGGCTGCCGCTCCTGGGCGGGACGGCCCGCCCGAGAGTGGCCGCGCGCGGTGCGACTTCGGGTCCGCCACCCGCTCGGGGCGCGGCGGAACGCGCTTTCTCCGGCCCCACGGAGCCGGCCCGGGAACGTTCGCTTTGGGGGCAGTGGAGCACGGCCGGGGCCGGAGGGAAGGATTCAGGAGTGTGATGGCAGCCGCGGGGCTCGGGGCAGGAGAGAGAGGGCTCTGGGTCTCTGGACCCCTGGGTCCAGAGCTCAGGCGCGCCGCCGCGAAGTGACCAAGTGCTTGTTGAGCTCCGCTGGTCTGGTCCTCACCGCTCTAGCCACGGCGGGACAGCAAGCCCAGGGGACATTCTAAGGGAATGGGGACTCCACCTCCACCTAGGGCGCTCTCTGCACGGACCTCATTTCGGGCTGTGCGAACCGACCCCCGCCCGTCCTGCAGCCAGGCGTCCCAGGTGGCAGGAGAAGGGGTCTTCCGGGAGGCGGCGATCCCACTCGCCGGGGGTCCCTAGGGCATCCAAACCCTCAGTGGTTTCCGTCTATGAGGCCCGGGGCTGGGCCGAACTATTCTTTAGTGCATTTCAAAGCTCTCCTTACTTCCTCCCCGGCTATTTTCGAAGTCAGGTGTATTCCACGCTTCCTCCGGGCCAGCGGCCCCGGAGGGCGTGGACAAGGTACAAAACCAGCCGTCGCCAAACAGACATCTATTATTCATGCTCCTGCCAGATCCTCTCCCGCCCAAAATAGAAGCCGGAGCTTCTGGGCGACCTACATCTGCGCTGAGAAGGGCTCCCCAGGGCTCGGAGGCTGGGGCTGGGCTGGTCGCTCGTCTTGGGCGCCGCAGCCCGCACCCACCCTTCCTCCCCGTGCCTCGGCCGGGCTCCCGCCTCCGGTCTTCGTTGGCTCGCGCCTTATTTCCTGGGGCTTCCCGGTCCCTGTTGCTGCTGGAGGGAAGCTGGGCGGCAGGGAGCCGTCCTTTTCGGTGGCCAGGTGTAGGTCTAACCGCGGCTTATTGAAGCCGCTGCCTTGCTGGGCTGGGACCCCATTACCTGGGAGGGGAGCGGTGGCCGAGCCACCTTCGAGGTGGGAATATTTGATGGGGCTAGTTCTTGCTTACCCCCAACTGTCGTCCCTACCCCGGGGTCGGCTGGGGGTGGGGGAGAATGAGAAAAGAACAAAAGACAAGTCTGCTGGGGAATCTTTGCGAAGAAAGACACCTGGGGCGACCCCACCCCTCCTGCTCCACCCCCGGCCCGGGCTTCCCGCCACGCCGCTGGAGGGCCTGGTACTGATGACTCCTCTGCCCCGGTGTCCCCGCAGGCCGGAGGAGGAGGTGTATGACGAGGACGGAAACCAGATCCCGGACTTCTAC